CCTCATCCTCATCATCCTCATCCTCATCCTCATCCTCAGCCTCGTCCCCATCCTCTTCCTCCTCCGCATACTTCTCCTCCTGTTCGCCCTTCTCAGCATACTCTCGCCTCATCATCATCCTCCCCCTCTGCATCCTCTGTATCCTCATCCTCCTCCTCAGCATCATCAGCATCAACATCAGCATCAGCATCAGCAGCAGCATCAGCATCGTCATCATCATCAGCATCATTATCATCATCAACATCCTCATCATATTCATCCTCGTCCTCATCGTCATCATCAGCATCAGCATCATCACCACCACCATCCGCATCAGCATCAGCATGAGCATCAGCATCAGTATCATCAGCATCATCATCGTCATCGTCATGAGCAGCAGCAGCATCAGCAGCACCACAATCACCACTATCAGCATCATCATCATCAGCAGCAGCATCATCAGCAGCAGCAGCAACAGCACCAGCATCAGCATCAGCATCATCAGCAGCTGTATCATCATCATCGTCATCATCAGCAGCAGCATCACCATCATCACCATCATCATCAGCATCATCATCATCATCATCATCATCATCATCATCATCAGACTCAGAATCAGAATCATCATCAGCATCATCAGCATCGTCATCATCATCGGCATGCATCATCAGCAGCAGCATACTCATCATCAGCAGCAGCATCATCATCAGCATCATCATTACCATAGCTTCCCTCCTCATCATCATCACAATCATCACGGTCATCATCAGCATCATCAATAGCATCAGCATAATCGTCATCATCAGCATCAGCATCGGCATCATCACAGCATCATCATCAGCAGCATCCTCATCATCATCATCATCATCATCATCATCCTCATCATCATCCTCATCATCATCAGCAGCATCATCATCATCCTTTTCCTCACCCTCCTCCTCATGCCCCTCCTCCTCCTCTTCTTCCTCCTCCTCTTCCTTCTCCTCCTCCTCCTCCTCCTACTCCTCATCCTCATCCTCATCCTCATCCTCCTGTCCTTCTCCTTCTCCTCCTCCTCCTCCTCAACCTGCTCCTCCTCCTCCTCCTCCACCTCCTCCGCCTCCGCCTCCTCCTCCTCCTCCGCCTCCGCCTCCGCCTCCGCCTCAACCTCCGCCTCCGCTCCCGCCTCCGCCTCCTCCGCCTCCGCCTCCGCCTCCATCCATCCATCCATCAACCCATCCAGTTCCTTTCTCCACCTCTCCCTTCCTCCCTCCCCCCCTCCCTCCCCCGCAATGTCCAAAGAGGGGAGGAAGGGGGAGCAGGGAACAGGAGAGAGGAGGCAGAGAAAGGAGGAAGGAGGAGCAGGAGGAGGGGCCATCCCCCTTTCTCGCCCGCTCCTCCTCCCCAACTCATCCCCTTCGCCCAACCTTCCCAGAGACCCGAAGTCGTCAACAACAAATACGACTACATCACCGCGACAAGTGCTCCGAAGCCCATTCCCCCACGGAAACTGTCAAGCCAGATCGGTCAGTCGAAGTCCCAGGGACCGAAAGGGTTAGCAAAACGCTCGCAGCGATCTCTTCACGACGATGGGACCTGAGGTTCTCCTGGTGGCGCGCACACAGGGGTGGAGGAAGGGGGGGAGCCTTCTTAGAGAAGGAGGCTGCTTCTTAGAAGGCGCCAGCGTGACATCTGCAAATAAGGCCCCGACCTCCCGAAAAGCAGGGGCGCTGCTGAGAGGCCCTCCTCGCGCTGGCGGACTCTCCCTCCTCGCAATCCGCGCCTGGCCTCCCACTTCTCGGAGGCTGCCAGAAGATGTCCCGGCCCAGGAGGCCCCCCCCCTCCTCCTCCTCCTCCTCCTCCTCCTCCTCCTCCTCCTCCTCCTCCTCCTCATCCTCATCCTCATCCTCATCCTCATCCTCATCCTCCTCCTCATCCTCATCCTCCTCCTCCTCCTCCTCCTCAGCCTCGTCCCCATCCTCGTCCTCCTCCGCATACTTCTCCTCGCCACCCTGAACCCTCCGAGACCCTCTGGGCCTCGCGAGGGACGCCCCGGAGGCCATCTGGGCCTCCCCGGAATTTTGGGGCCCCCTCGGGCCGAAGCCACCTCTCGCAACACCGTGCTCCTGCTCTGGGTCTCGAGGTCTTCTAAAGCGACCGCAGTAGCCATTACCGGGTGCGACTAGTTTGAAGGGGCCCAAGGACACACAAATAAATACACACAAATATAAGAATCCCCCATATTTTCCTATATTGTCTGGGTCTCTGTCTTCCCGCCCACTTCCCATATTTCCCCATATTTTCTGGGAAATCGAAGATTAATTGTGTCTGTGTGTTTCTTTTCCTCCTGATAGTTTTTCGATCATAGCTCGCGTAGGAGACTGGTCTCGGGCCTCTCGAGGCTCTGGACTGTGCTTTCGAGGCAGCTGAATCGATTGGGCTCGACACCCTCCCTTCCCTAGGGTCTGGAACGCAGGTTGTCTCAAGCCGCCCGACGCGGTGTCAGCGGCACGCGCCGCCCTGTTCGCGGCCGTGCGCGCGCAGGCCCTGTGCGTACGCCCCGACAGGGTCGTTCCGCATTGAGAAGGGGAGCCAGAGAAGTGGTCTCTACCCATCAGGAGGGGGGGGCAGGAGGAGGAGGAGGAGGAGGAGGAGGAGGAGGAGGAGGAGGAGGAGGGAGGGAGGGAGGAGGGAGGAGGAGGAGGACCCAGCACAGCCGAGTTCGATTGGAGAGGACACGCGAGAGGACACCCGAAACTCTTCCGAGGGCAACATGGCCTCTAAGCCAGACACCCCTGCCCCAGGAATGAGCACAAGTACATGAGAGGCGCCGTGTACAGGACACCAGGGCACCCGCCGGTCGGAAGAGGTGGATAGAAACCTGAAGACTGCGCTCCCGCCCGCCCCCGGAAGAGGGAAGCGGGGACAGCCGCTCGCCTCTTGAAGCAGAAAGGCACATCAAGCACATTGGGATCTGGACATCCCGACATGCCTGCTCTCAACGACCGGCGTGCTCCCCTGATCTCGCGGGGGCGACCTGCCAGCCAGGCCCGACCGCAGACCCGGCAGAGGCGCCACGGCGGGGGGCCCTCAGGGCTCCGGGGGGCCGGGGTCCCCGCCCGGCTCCGCCGCCGCGGCGGAGCCAGGGCGTGCGGCGGAGCCGGGCGGGGGCGGCCATCTGAGAAGGGGAGGAGGAGGGAGTAGTCCAGCAGCCCCTCGAGAGCGCGAGCGGGTGGGCGGGCCTCCTCTCCCAGCCCTCCGTCGTCCCGGGCCCCTCGCCGCTCCCCCTGCCCCTCGCCCTGTGTCTGCACGGGGCCCTCCGCGAGACGTTGGAGGGTCCAAGAGGGGAGGGGGGGGAGGGGGGGGGGAGAGGGGGGGGGGAGAGGGGGAGGGGGAGGGGGGGGGGGGGGGAAGAGGGGAGGGGGGGGGGAGGGGAGGGGCGGGGAGGGGAGGGAGGGGAGGGGGAGGGGGAATTCCACGGTCTGCCTGCTGGAATACGGGGGAGGGGCAGAGGACCAGCCACGGAAGGACCTGAGGAGCAGCGGGCCCCAGCAGTCGAACCCGGGCGGCCCTTCTCTTTAGAGGCGCCTGTACTGCGAGGGACCTCTGCAGAGGCCTCCGGGGATGGGGGCGCAACGGGGGCCAGGGCCAGGAGGACGGGGACAGCGAGGAGAGCGCGGATGAAGGGGGGAACTCAAGCGGCCGGCTCGAGGGGAGGGGGGGCGGGTAGCGACCTGATCCCTGGCTCCCCAGACATCGGCGGCGAGCGAGGGGAAGTGAGAAGGATCAGGCCTTCTCAGAAGGCGGCGGGGCCTCTCAGAAGCCATCTGGCCTTCTGAGAAGGTTTCTGTGCCTTCGGGGAAGGCACAGAAAACTTCTCAGGAGGAAAGCCCACCCCCTCTCACTTTCCCTCCAGGCTGGCCGCCGAAGACAGGCAACGCCACAGTTCCACTCCTGGTGAAATCTCAAGTGGCAGAGGAGGCGAAGAGGAGATGAGAACTCCAGAACCCTTTTTGCCATCCTGTCGCTCATATTCCTCCCTGTCGCACACCCAGAAATGTCGGCAGGGCGGGCCGGGCGTTTCGCCTGACACGTCCTCACCACGTATGGCCCTTGAGCTTGAAAAATGTAACCGGTTCACGGATGGAGGGCGGGTCGTTTCCAAGATGTACCTCTCGCCTGGGCGCGCGGCGTCCACTTTTTCACAATGTTGCTCTCGCCTCAGCGCCGCGTACATTCGACTAAAGTTTACAACAGCTTCAAAGATGGAGGGCGGGTCGTTTGCATCATGTGGCTCTCACTGAGGCTGCTGCAAACTTTGGAGATAGAGAACAGATCCTTGTCAAGATGTGGTTCTCGCCTGAGCCCCGCGCACATTAGTTTAAAGTTTGCAACAGTTTCAAATATTCGTATAATCAACGTCCCAGGTGTTCTGGCACAGTGTAGAAATGCCAAGACGAAACAGTCACGTTGATTCGCGGCGTCGAAGTCCCGAGAAGTGCGTTTTGGCACGATTGACGGTTGTCTTCCAATGGGGCACTTCCCCCAATGAAAATTGTGTATATGTATATATATATATACATACATACATGCATACATACATACACACACATACGTACATACATACGTACATACATACATACATACATACATACCTACATACCTACATACCT